GCTTGGTTTTTTCAATTGCTTTCCATCGGCATATTCGATTGATGTTAACCTCCAGAAGGGTTTCTTCTTGCACACAGCTGATGGGTTCGCCTATCAAGAAATGTCCGGGGGTCAATGCGCTGACATCTCGTGGGTCTGTTAAAATGCAAAGTGGCCTAGAGTTTAGGCATCCCTCAATCTGAGAAAGCAAAGTGGTTAATTCTTCGAAACTTAAAGTTCGGTCATGCATAACGCATTTATATGGTGCTTCATGGACTGCTTCCCACAGACCACCAAAATTAGGGGAAGCAGGTGGGATAAAGTGCCAATCAGTTCCAGAACTTGAAAGACTTTCATGTAAATCCTTTGGCATTGAAAGTCGACTTCGGTATAGCAAGGCTTTTAATTCCTTTGATGCACCTACAAAATTTGTGCCGCAGTCGGAATACAAATCAGTACATGCCCCTCGTCTGGCAACAAAGCGGCGGAAGGCTGCTAAGAAAGAGTTTGTTTTTAAATCCGACACTGCTTCTAGGTGTATGGCCTTGGTGCTCATTCATACAAAGAGACAGACATAGCCTTTTGTGATGACAGCGCTTCTTAATGTTGAGTTTTTTATGGGTATAGGTCCAGCCTAATCAACACCACTATGTTTGAAAGGCCTTTTTAAATTTAGGCGAACAGAGGGGAGATCACCCATCACTTGTTGGGCTGCTTTGGCAGCATAACGGAAACAACTTATACACCGGCTTATAATAGTTTTAGCTAGGCGGACTCCAGACAAAATCCAAACTTCGCGACTGACATAAGACACAGTTAAAGTGATTCCTCTATGTAAAGTACGCTCATGTGCGTCTAAAATTATAAGCTTAGATAAAGGATTCCATTTGGTTAGAACCGCTGGAAATTTTGTGTCAGACGGTAAATTAGAATTTGGAGCCGCCCACCAGCGCGCAGGATACCCTTCTCATCAATGAAAGGTGATAGTTTAAGTAAAGGTTTTTCTTTCGCTTCTTTTCGACTGATCAAGGCAGAAATGCTGTGGGTGGAGTCAATTTGCTGAGTCAATTTTATGAGACAAATCTTGGTTTCACGAATTTCTCTGGCAGTCAAAATTCCAATATGGCGCATCCCTATGCTACGCTTACAATTCTCAAAGAATCGAAAACACCACGTAAATAGCGATATCGTCACTTCTATTGTAGCGCCATAATTTTTGCTGGTATTTCCGCTGGGCGGGATTGACCTCAATTTGGCGAAACATCTTTTCAATGTCCGCAGTGAAGGCATACCGATGCTTTCGCCAACGTAACAAAATTTGAAACAAATTATTTTGAAAAATAGGCCCGGAGAATAATTTTTCATTTAGTGATGTCGTATCTTTTGACTTACTACTGCCGTCAAAAACAACTCTTAATTTAGTGGTGGAGCTACTCTCACGCACAACGCCATGGTGGGGCAGAAAATAAGAATTGGGCTGAATATCTGCTGGGTATATGCCTACTCTAGTCATGTGCTGCAAACTTTCATATTCTTGCATGAATGCAGTGTATTGCTGGTGGTACAAGGGGCGTCTAATAAATGCTTGTTTTAATTGCTTAAGACGTTTGAAGGCATTGAAACGATTAGTTTTCATTGTTGGCGTAGTGCCAGAATTTAGCATTGACATAAATGGTAGATCCACTATGTACCGTCCAGACTCACTACGTTGTGTGGTGGTCAAAAAAAAGTTGTCGCATGTTTCGTCTTCCGCAGTCAGATCCCTTTTCTGAGGTAGCTCTTCCTGCTCCCAAAAGGACCGTAACAGGGTTTCCAAATTTATGTTATTTACTGTGACTCTGTGAACTAAATTCGTAGTTGGCCCAGAGATAACCCAGCCAAAAACAGTCCTTTGAAAAAACAAATTTTCATGTAAAAATGATTTTCCTGGAACGACAATTTGACTGAAGTTATCTGCTCCACGAATGAGGTCAATTTTGTCATGCTTGTCGAAAGCGGGATCGGCAAATGTATCAACTTGTAAATTTCCAAGATTTCTTAAAACGCTAGTTGCCTTTGGCTTGTAAGATGATAAGCGCTGCAGAGCGAGCGCGTTACACGTAAGTACATACTTATTTTGTACTGACCAAAGATCGATTGAAACTGCACTGCGGCAGAAGTTATGGCTGTTACATACGCCGGTAATTTCACAGTAGGTTTTACGCTTAGCTAGGTTAAGTATTTGAGACGCGTGCTCGGTAATAAGGGTCGCTTCCGAGCCCTGGTCAAGGAGTGCTCTGAGCTCAATCTCTGTAGTGGGTGATTTGACGAGAAGTCGTATGGTGTACAACAGAACGTTGGGAAACACAGCCGCGTTGTTGGCAGAGGCTGTTAGAGATAACGTAGAGCTCTTAGTACAAGCATTAGCAGAGCTTACTCGACCACTACCCTGGGATGTATTATCATGGTCTGTATGTATAACAGTATGATGAGCCCTTTTACAAATATTACATTTATAAGTCGACTTGCATTCACGTGAGTGATGGCCACTCACAAGGCAATTGTAGCAAATAAGTTTAGATGTTAAGAAATCAGCTTTATTCTTATAAGGTAGTGCTAGAAACTTGAAACATTTTGATAATGAATGTGGCTTCTCGAAAAACGAGCAGCTATCTTGCTGAGAAGCATGATTAGCCTTAAAATTTTGTCGTTTAGCTTTAGATGGATGAAAGTTTGTTCTTTTACCCTTGTCATTGTCCCCTGTACAGCCATGAAGAGATTCAAGCTCTGCAAGAAACAGCTCTGCAAGTTTTTGCGCATCCGTCGAAGATTTTAATGAACTCTGCCATTTTCTACGAGTTTCCATGTCAAGTTTTTGTGATACTAAATAGATCAAGATAGGATCCCAATTTGTTGTATCGATATCAATGTTCTTTAAAGAAGCTAGACATTCTTCGGAGGTGTCGAGTATAAGTTTGATGCTTTTGACACTTCCGTCCGGATCTGGCATGGAACAGATATTTTTATTTAGATTATCAACAATCCAACGCTTGTTGTTATACCTTTTCTCAAGTATTTGCCAGGCAGAATCGTAATTAGACTCAGTAATTGCCATGGCTTTAATTAAATTGGCGGCTTCGCCGGACAAAGGTCCTTTCAAATAGTGAAATTTTTGTATTTTTGAAAGTAAAGGTACGTCATGTACTAATGACTTGTATACATCCTTAAAATCCAATCCATATAGTCACCTGAGAACTTAGGTAATGAGATTTTAGGCAATTTCGCCTCAACTTTCTCCGAACGGCTGTGAGATGCCACAAATGTACTTGCATGTAACTCCGATCCAGTCACGGGAATACCTTGCAAATCATCTAAAACTTTACCCTTAAAGGTAAAAAATAGGTCATCGAATTGATCTAAGCACCCTTCCGAAAGATAGGGTACATCTAAAGAAATAAGGGAATTCTCGGACACGAAATCTAAAATTTCTTCATGTCTTTCGTAAAAGCGCTTTTGCTGATTTTCCAGCCCTTGTAACACGGATTTTAGGAATCCACATGTTTTCTCCATTGGAGGTTTCGCTTTGTAACGATCACACATGTCAGAAAGACGCTTTAAATAGTCACGCTGGCGATCTATAAGCCTGTTATAGAAAAAATTATAATTTGGAAAATAGACCTTAATATATAGTAACTTAACCTTTGAAGGCAGCAACACGTGTTACAAAGCACGTTGATGTTCACGTTCAATGCGTTTTTCCAGTCTAAAATAGTAGTGGGACCGCCGTGGTCCCGGGTTTCGGCACCAAAAAATGTTGTATTTACAACTTACTTTATAAAAAATAGTTACGTATAATATAAATGCCGCGATATGAATACCCTAATTACCGGATGCAAATGAAAAAATTAGAATACAACTTCTTTCATATCTTGTGAAAAATTATTTGTGCCAATACTTTTTTCCGGCGGTTTATGTGTGTACATCCGTGTTGCCGCGAATAATTTTTAGTGATAGCCACATTCTTTTAAAAAAAGGTCTAAAAAGAGCTAAAAAATATCGTTGTGGCTAAAAATGGTAGCTAAAATTTTTTACTTACATATACATATGTAAGTATACACGCGAACGTTTTCAATAAGTAATGGTATAGAAAAACAATGAACTCTGGAAAAAAGCAAATATTTTATCCAACCAAAAACCTTTTTGTATAAAAGGGGAAATATACGACACCAGGTTGCTGGCTCCATCAAGTGATTGTAACGTCAGGCCCGAAACATATAACTTACCAGCGTGCTGGTACAATATTTATTTCTTTACAAATGAGGTCGAGGAATGATCGAAATGATTAGAGCCGAAATTTCATAATTTTTCTACCGTTTTGTTAAAAGATTGTTTTTTTTTTATTCACAGCTGTAATATCGTGAACTTAATCTTCCACAAACACGGCTTTGACTCATATTGTGCAAGAAATTTCCATCAAAATACTTTTTACTTAGAAAATTGAGCTAATTTCACCACTCCCGACACCAGCATGCTGGTACAATCACACCCAAGAACATACAGGGTCAATCGAATTGATGGGCCATTTAACAAATTAAGCATATTATCTATTTTAAACTGTAGTTAAATCGTTAATAGATAAGTTAAGAGCCTTAACACTTTTACAGTATGTATGTATAAAAACGTAAGGAACATACAATACATATAGATACATACATATGTGTATATATCAGTCTTTCTTAGTTTAAAAATTCATCTCATACATAAATGAAAAAAATGGATCAAATTAAGCATATACAACTTTTTCGTGCCAAGTATAAGTAAATTCTCCAAAGGGCTAAAAAAGGGCTAGGGGCAATTTTAAATTTATGTGGCCAAAAAAAGTATGCGGTAGCTAAATCTAGCCACCAAAGGGCTAAAACGACAACACTGGTGTGCATGTGTGCCCATTTCAGAGCGGTATTGTTCCCGTTCATCTAAAACTTGGAGCAAGAATAAGTTTATAGTAAATACATAAGTTGCCATGACAATTTGTATTAACTCACCAGAAAAAAAGCTATCCAAACTGTGTAGGTCTTCCTCTTCGATGTCTTCATCATCATAAAAATGAGCATCTTCTTCAATTTCTTCATTATCAGAGGCTTCTAAGGAATTTGATTGACAATGCGCTATAACATTGCTTCCATTATTGACAATTTTTGATGGCGATGTAACTGATCGCTCAATTATTATGGAATGCTTTGACGTATCTGAAAAAAATTAAATATATAATATATCGAAAAGAAATAACCAAGCAATGTGCAAGACCTTCTAATACCATATTTACACCTTAGCGGAGTTGAAGAAAAATCTGACAGAGGAAGTATGAACAGAAACTATAGTTATACTATAGTAAGAAAAGGGAAGCAAATCTGCGCCGAATTGCCGATTCAGTAAAAGAAAATTTGCGCACAGATGAATGTTTCGAATTTAATTTTCTTTTGTGGCGTATGTTTTTACTTTAGCGTGAGTGGCGAGAATCTAGATATTTACACTTATTATATTTATTTTACACCTTTTTAAGCGGTGGTTAGCAATAAATACGCATTATTTTCGTTGTAAAAATTTCGATTTATGGCCCATTCCCAGCGTTGATGACAGTCAACTCTGCGCAGGTGTAAATATGGTTTAACACTACTAAATACATACAAGTATATGTATATGGTTCTAACAGGGATAGATAATAATAGAGATAGATAATAATCGTTTACATATGGGTATTTCAATGCGCCCTTTAATTTTTTTTACCCTTGTGTAGCACATAACTAGCTCTATATTTAACCGAAAAATTAAACAAATCAAGCTGCATGGTTCTTAAACATGATGAAATAAATATAAGGTGATGTCACTTACATAACCTCACTTTTTCTGCATGCCAATTGCGGCCATGCATTTTGGGGTAGTAGAAATAGGGCGAAAAAATTAGGCTTATTTTTACTACTTTTTGGGTACTATTTCCAATACATACATATATCAGTAGACCCCACACCAGTTAAATGAAGCTTGCATCAATAAAATATTTTTTCTGTAAACCAGTGTAATTACAGTTTAATTTTTTCGCTCAAAAAAAATTATTCGTACTTAATTTTTATTTTTTCGATCAAATACTTGTATTGATTTTAATAATTATTATTCAGTTATATTTTTCTACCTTAAAATTATTATTTGTAAAACTTTAAGGCCACACGGTCGTACCACACACATATGATGATTGTTAATACTCAAAAAATAAGGACTATTTTCCGTCTTTCATTTATTCATATTAAAACAAATTAAATTATACCGCTCTCTTTATTTAATTATTCTTAAATTCTACTAAAAATGACATATTAGCCCGTATGGAATTTTATTTGTATTTATTTTTTCCTTAAGTTCTGAAGTACATGTATATGCGTACTTAGTTTTTAAATATCTTCACTTTAAAGGGAATTTTATTACGACCTTTATTTTCGTTAACATTTGAATTTCTGAATTCTATCAGTTATATTATAAAATCATTATGCGTTTAAATTGTTAGACCAAAGTGCATTATCGTAGCCATCTGAGGCACTGCTCCAATAATCTGCTGGATATATATAGTATATATTTTATCAAAAATTTACTTACAAAATCGCAATTATTGGAAATTATCGCTCAAATTTTCCAATGAAAAGCAAAAGCGAAACAAAGAAACAGTTACTACGTTTATACGTAAGCTATTTGCAAATAAAAATAAATTGCAAATACCTAACTCACTGTTTATTCGATGGGGAAAAATTCTTTTTTAATATTGCCTGATTATAAAAAGGCAATAACATGACCATCGAAAAAAAAAAGTTGAAAATGGCAACGTCTTGATTATTAAAAGGCAATAAGATGACTATCGAAAATAAACCTAAGAATGGCGGCGTCTTGCGTTTATTTGCAAATAATACCACTAATCAATACTTATTTGCGTGATTTAGTTATTTACAAATAAAAAATTTACTTAGCGTTTATACGGTAAAGTTTACCATTTTGAAAATTGTTATTTGCAAATAATACGTGCGTAGAAACGTAGTAAGTGATACCCAAGAATGATAGAATACAAGATTGCGCCAATGAGAGAGGATTTTTGAGCGTAATTTTTGCGTGACGTCATCTTGGTGCAATTGCGAGAGAGAAATGCCAAAACGCATATAAAAATATGTCAACAATGCAGAAAATGTGTTAATTTTAGTATTACATGGCCCAATTTTGCAGGAGTCAATAAGTATACAAAGATTGATTAATTAGGAACACGTAGCAATAATTTTGGACATGTAGCCCTTTAGATAAGTACGATTTTTAGCACATGAAAAAATGGATGTATTAACAGTGTTTGCAATTTCAAGTAGACCAAAAGGAAGGTGTGTAGCAAAGTGAATTTTTGGACTTGCCATTTTAAAAAGCCATGCAGAGTGCATATTTATATTTGTGGACGGTAGCCAACCACCATAAACTCCACAGCTGTTGACTCCACAGCTTTTATTTGATTACTTTTGTACCATTTCCGAGAGGATGCACGAGTGTGGCTTTTTTGGAAGCAAATATTCTATGTCAGTAAAACATAATTTAAGCTAAACTTTTAAATGTATAATATTTTGGGCACTGTTTTGTATTAGGTACGTAACAGCGCGGTAAGATGCCGCTTGAATTAGCGCCTGGCGACCTTATCCACTGGTGCATTACCTCTTACCAGCACTAAAAGAATCAAGTACTAACAAAAATAAGTAGGTAGTGAATCTATTCATGTATCTATTTACTGTAGAAACTGCTTTTGTATATATGCCATTGCCAGCAAACTAAACCAGCAACTACAATTCACCAAGAAAAGGCCAACATAGTTCCATATAGAAGCTCATAGCTCACACACATAGCACAAAGCTCGATTTGGTTTTTATTGCATGTCCTCGCCGGCAGAATTGCTTCCACTTTTTCGCCAGGTTTGCGTCCGTAGGAAACGAAAAAAAACTTATATCGCATGCTTTCCTTTTGTTTTCACTATTACACTTTGCCACTGCTCACTTCATTTTGCTTTTTAATGTCTCAATAATTGTTTAAAACCGCGCAGAAATATTAACGCACAAATATTAAAATTGTTATTTGGTTTTTTCGTATGCTCACATTCAACAATTGCACCAAGATGACGTCACGCACACAGCTCATTCTGTCAAAATCACAAAAAGCGGATTAGCGGTACCGCGATTGGCGCAATCTCTATTTCTCTCAATAGTGAGTGATACCTACGCATAATTTTTTCACAAAATTGTCGGCTCCATTTTGCCCAGAAATGAAATTGGAATGAATAGAGTAGGGCATTACTGTAACGCTGGTATGCCGAAATTGCCAAAATTACAACAACCACCCCTTAAGTGACAACACCTTATTATTATTTCACCACGATTCTTAAATATGTATACGCAATTAAAAAGAGTAACGTTACGTGACAAAAAACTTTCTTTTCTTACGAAGTCGCGAAAACTCTGCGAATTGTTGATAGCTCTTTTCATGAAAGTTGTTTAATATGATTTAGAATAATTCTAGTTGTTTTTAGAGTTTTTTGAATTAATGCAACTTGTTTCAACTTTCTTTTACAAAACCAATTGTGAAACGTTACGTGACGTGGCGTCACGTGACATAAATTTCCATAGTGAATTTCTAACGCAAATAATGCATTTTATGTCGAATATACCCTATATATTGAGATTCAGGGTAAATTTGTTGGAAATATATGATTTATTATGTTTCAACTAACTACATACGCCAAATTCAAACCAAATTGGACCATAAACACGTGGTTTCAAAATAGCTCCACCTTGCCGACACCTAGCAAGACCATTTTACGCAAACATGTTTCAGCTTAAATAATACGGTTGCCAGATGTACTGATTTTATCAGTACAGTACTGATTTTTCAACTCTTGTACTGATTTTATTTATTTCTTCAATCAGTACGCTAATGCCCTGATTTTTCAAGATTTGTACTGATTTGTACTGAATTTTCTATTCAAACAAAATACTTTAGTATTTTCTTAAGGTTTTTACATAACGTTGGAACTTCCTTAAACTGTACTGTAAAAAATAAGAAGAAAATAATTTAATTATAGTTGACATGTTTTAGATGATGTTTGACATGCCCAAGAAATTAATACAACAAAAAGATCAATCGTTTTATGGGCATATCGCCAGGTGGTTATGTAAATTATTTAAAAATAAGGCTTACATTTTTCTCAAGCGTTTTTAATTATCTCGAAAATAACTTTCAGTTTAATAACAATAAATTTAAATATTCGAATGCCTTTGCCTATAACTTACAACTCCTTTTTCTCAATTTACTGACTCTGTAAAAGAGTTTTGCATACCAGGCATAGAGTAAGATACTCTTTTTAGCGAATTCTTAGTCTTTCCCAGTTTTTGCGTAGTTGAAAAATTATTTAAGCCTTGAGGAAATATAGATGAACTCTTTAAAAAGTGGTACTTTTTTACAGTATGAGAGGATCTTAAGAATAAAGTTTGTTTCCTGGCGCAAAGAGAGAAACCGGCTTCTAATTAAAATTTTTGAAAGTCAACTTCAAACTAAAAGTAATTTTAAAATTAAATGTATAGAATTCTTTGCCGCTGTCGGCCGCTGTGGTGTAGTGGTAAGCAGTGCGCGCTTCCACTCCACAATGCCTGGGTTCAAACCCTGGTCAAAGCAACATCGCAAAAATATAGAAAAAAGGTTTTTTCTTAACAGCGGTCGTCCCTCGGCAAGCGATGGCAAACCTCCGAGTGTATTTCTGCCATGAAAAACAGCTTCTCATAAAAATACAATCGCCGTTCGGAGTCGGCGTAAAACTGTAGGTCCCTCCGCTTTGTGTGACAACATTAAGGCGCACGCCACAAATCGGAGGAGAAGCTCGGCCAAACACTAACATATGTGTAAGCGCCAATCTATTATTATTATTATTATAGAAATCTTTGACTATTTAAACACTGAATAAATAATATAAAAAAACTTTTTAATATACAACGCTTTTCTAAATGGACTAAGCATTCGATTTAATTGACAATAGCATTCGATTTAATTGACAATAGTCAAACTACATAACGTAGATCTAAAATTTCTACAGCGAAAGTAGAACCTTGAAATCGATTTTAAGCGGTCGTTATTCATATACCCGCATACATACATACATATATTACTTTTCATATCAATTC